ACGTGTAATAAAGGACTACAGATACTGGATGTAGTTTAATCTATAAACATTACGTGTAATAAAGGACTACAGATACTGGATGTAGTTTAATCTATAAACATTACGTGTAATAAAGGACTACAGATACTGGATGTAGTTTAATCTATAAACATTACGTGTAATAAAGGACTACAGATACTGGATGTAGTTTAATCTATAAACATTACATGTAATAAAGGACTACAGGTACTGGATGTAGTTTAATCTATAAACATTACGTATAATAAAGGACTACAGATACTGGATGTAGTTTAATCTATAAACATTATGTGTAATAAAGGACTACAGATACTGGATGTAGTTTAATCTCTGTAATCATTACGTGTAATAAAGGACTACAGATACTGGATGTAGTGTAGTCTTTGTAAACATTATGTTGAATAGAGGACTACAGATACTGGATGTAGTTTAATATCTATAAACATTATGATGAATAGAGGACTACAGATACTGGATGTAGTTTAATCTCTGTAAACATTACGTGTAATAAAGGACTACAGATACTGTATTTTTGGACATAAGTTCTGATTTACTTTCCTTAAAAGTATCATTCATGTTCTGTAATTTCTTTACATATTTTCCTGAACGATTAATATCACATCTTAAAGGTAATTTTAAAAGTGTTCTAAACATTCATTTAAAAGTACACTAAGGAACTTGTATGTTGTTTTTTTACGGTTTTTGACCATTATATGATGTACTGTTTTTAAAGAATATCTACAGAAGTTAATATTATCTTTAACATTTAGTTGAAAGACTTAATATTGAAAATAATTTGTTGTTTTGAAGGTCATGCACATATGGGCAGTCAGGAGTATAGCTCCTCAACTCCTTCTGCTGGACATCCATCTTTGGGTATGTACTTGGGTGGTTCCGATCCTCATGAGATTAGACAGCAGGTTGTTGCTGTGGGAACACCTCTTCCAACAGCATCTCTACCTATTGGTGCTCAGCAAGGACCTGTAATGGTAAGTTTTATATTTAAAATTTGTTCTTACACTTAAATTGTCACGTGATCTGCATTTCATGATTCTAGGTAGACTTTAATTATCACCCTATGATCAGTCAGCGTAATTTTAGACACTGTTCTAGATACTGCATAATCTAAAACCTATGGTGAGTCAGTTTAATGTAAAGTGCCCTGTGGTTCCAGAACTATTTCTGTCATCAGACAAGGTGTTCTTTCATGGATGGTTTTGGAATTATGTTTGTCATGATAGAGTGGATCCTCTCCTGCCTAAAGTTTCTTTGAGATTTTTTGAACTCTGCATTAATTTCTTTTGTCAGGTTTAGGTGTATAAGGGTTTGGCATTTTTTTAATGTTTTGTGAAAATTTTTGTCCATTGGAGTATGGTGTTGGAGCATGGTCATGGTAGAGGATTCCTGATTTTTCCTTGTTACTGAGTGGTTATGAAGAACATGGGGAAAATTCCCTCTTTCTTTTGATCGTAGGATATAGATCCAAATTTTGTTTTTATACACACATTATTCTCAGTTTATACTTTGGGTTTTCTCTTTTGATACTTAAGGCCTTCTTTATTTTTTTATAAGTTTTCAGTTTTGTTTGGTGTCAGGGGTTTTATATTCTTCTCATTGTATCATGTCTTGTAGTTGGTGAATATTCTGCAATAACTGGTTCTGGTTTTTATGGACAGAAAAGTCTTGTTGTATTTGCATATTATATCAGTTTTTGTTTTGCTGGTTTTCTTTTTTAACTCATATGTATGCTTCACCACATTCATAGGGTATTATTTTTGTTTGGATTTTTCAGGAATTTGTTGATTTTAGAGATTTGTTTAATGGACTCTCTTTGTATCTTAGCTTGAAATGTTTTCTTAGTAGTTTAACTTTGTGTATTTAATATTTTTTTACTCGTTGTAAATCCCTCGATGATACCTTGCTTTGTGGTTTGATCTGTAGTGGAGATGTTGGTATCTTGTAAATTAAAACTAGGTAGAGGGCTAGACCATGGCATGATGAGTCAATGATGAGTTGATTACTTGATGTTTGTTGTTTCCTTTTAGATGGATAAGATGGAAACTAGGTAAAGGTAGAGGACTAGACCATGATATGATGAGTCAATGATGAGTTGATTACTTGATGTTTGTTGTTTCCTTTTAGATGGATAAGATGGGAACTAGGTAGAGGACTAGACCATGATATGATGAATCAATGATGAGTTGATTACTTGTTGTTTCCTTTCAGATGGATAAGATGGGAACTAGGTAGAGGACTAGACCATGATATGATGCATCATATCATGGTCTAGTCCTCTACCTAGTTCCCATCTTATCCATCTAAAAGGAAACAACAAGTAATCAACTAATCAATTATGAGTTGATTACTTGTTGTTTCCTTTCAGATGGATAAGATGGGAAGTAGGTAGAGGACTAGACCATGATATGATGAGTTGATTACTTTATGTTTGTTTTTTTCCAGTTTTGTCACCAGTTTTGCATGGATTTGTATATGTACTCTGACAAGATTGATATAGGAACGATGTGGTTGTTTGGAGGTTCTTGCAACATGGCTGGTGAAACAAGTGGTGATTTGAGTAATAATAGCCACAACTTACTTCCAGGCATAAATCTCCAGTTGGTAATGTCATTACTCGTTTCACTACCAATGTTAATGGAACCATCAACCTATCATGTCACATCTTCCTAAGTTCTCCCAGATAGCATATAAATTCAACCAAAACTGGTACAAGCTGACCTGAAGACAAAGGAGAGAAGTTTTCTGAAATATTTTCCTTTTCATCTATGCTACTTTTGTACATTAGTCCTCCAAAACTGCAATGTAATGTTTTGTTGTTGGGTTTGTTAGTATCAATTTTGTTTGTGAGTTGAGTTGAGTTTTGTTGTGGGGAATGTTGGACAGTTTTTCAACAATAGCTGGTGGAAATTTATTGACGTGGATGAAGGAATGCTTTATGTGATTGATTTCTTCATCTGTGTAGTCCATTGAACAGTGTCTTGTGGTTGTGTTTATGAGATTTTTTCAGTGTATTGATTTTTTGTGTGGTGTCATGAGCAGAATTCCAGGAGAGGCCGGTGTGTGTGTTCTTATGGTTAATTTTGGTTTTAAATCTTAAATTCTCTCAAAAATTTGGCCCTAAATTAAAATTGGTACTAAACAAAAATTATTTAGAATCACACAATACCAACGTTATTTACAAAATAACATGTAATAACTGCCCAGAATTCTAAATTGGAGAAACAAAGTGATTTTAAATAAAGAACCAAACACGAACAAACGAAAAATCAATTGAACAAAACAACCATACTTTAAACCAACACCCAGGGGTGCCAAGATATTTCTTCTAAGTCGTGCAACAGTATCCAGTCATGTGACCTCTTTGTTCCATACAGTATATATATATATATATGTGTGTGTGTGTGTCAGTGTAAACTACTTGTACCTGTTGATGACAAAACCTAGTTGAAACGTTGTACATTTGCTGTTATGTTAAACTTATATTAAAGTTATTCTTCATTACCCATTCAGGCCGTCTCCAAGCATTATCAGTCTCAAAGTGGGTTCCTCGTTATCGAATTTGCCAACAAAATTGATACACACAGTTTTCTTTGTTTTATACAAATGTTTTAATGCACAAACAATAATACAATTTACAGTAACAGTTGTTACAAACAGCTAGTACAAATAATGATTTATATACAAAAATTCCACAAACTTACAAGCAATACAAAGTCTTCTTTCTAGTCTGGAACTTCCTTGATGTCTTATCAAGGGTTCTTGATGAGCAAGTTAATTTCGAGTTGATGTAGGTACAATTCACTTTATGGGGAGCTAGCTAGCTCTGTGGCCCTCACTGATTACACAGCGATTTTTTTTCTACCAATGACATTAGGAAATGTTTTCATAAAAGTACTACTATCTGATGTGAATCCATTGAAGTTAAATGGTTTGTAATGTTCAAAATTTATAAATGTTCCTGATCAAATATCTGACATTTCACTATTAATAATTGTTATAATAATTACAGTTATAGCTTCCGAAGTTTATGGCACACCGACTATAGCAAACGATTAATAGATACTGTTTTAGGCGTGTCATATTGGTTATATTTATAGGCGTGTGGAGAGTTTCTCAAAAATTCAGATTATGCAACAACACAAATGCTACAATAGTGTTTACTTACACACGTATATTGTTGATTCTTATACTCAAGAATCTTCTACAACTTTAAAGAATAGGTGGGAGTTTTGCAAAACATATTTAACAGTATAAGTTATATACATTTCTAAATATAAATTTAAATTAAACAAACATCAATATCAAAATAAATATATAATAATAAATTCCTCACAGTTGTAAGTGCATCATAATGTGACAGTCAATCCAACATTAATTTGTAAAGAGTAGCCCAAAATTTGGTGGTGGATAGTGTTGATTTAGCTGCTTCTAGTCTATTCCTTAAAAATTAGGGTAGGCTACTCAAATAGTTTTGTGTGAAATTCTGTAAACAAGTATTTCAAAATATGTTTCTGTAATTTTGGATCTAATGTTCTAAAATATTGTTTACAGTTGACAGCAAAAAACTTGCAGTGTATGAGATCAATTTTAAGCTTGGCCCATTGTCATGGGTCAATACTGGGGACAGCATGGCATTTGGTTCTCACCACATTACAGGTAGGTTTCAGTTTCAGTATTCATTAACCAGACGTTTTTAAAATTTATAGAAAGATTTAGTTTTGTAATGTGTATTTTTCATGTAGAGAAAGTTGTTTACTTAGTGGTGACATGAAATAACCAAAGTTGGGCTTTTTAACCATTAGTATGGTCTACAGGTGACAGGTAAATTGTTTCTTATCTCAGCTGTTCATATTTTGTTTAGACGATTGAGAGTTTTAAAACCAATAATGAAGTTTTTTGTTTTCTCTTTTTAAACTTTCTCACATAAATTTTCATTATATATGGACTACAGGTGATAGAAAAGTTTGTTCTACCAGCAGGTATACTGTTTCTTTTAGCTCTTTATATTCCCTCTTTTATAGCACTTGGTTTGGATCCTTGGTTTGAAACCATCAACTGGGGGAAGTTTAAAAGCAGGCCGTACTACAGAGACTCCTAATGCTGTTATTACAACAGCTGTCATGGCAGACTTGCCTGTGCTATCTGCTATGCTTTCCCGTCTCTTTGAAAGCTCACAGTAAGTGATATGAAATGTAAACTATCAGGAATTTAGCTTTTGCTATTGTAATGCATTGTCTTTATCTAAAAATATTAAATAATTGAAAAAATATATTGTATAAAAATTAGGAATCACATGCTAAATTGAATGAATATCTATAAAATGTCTATATTGGATGAAAAACAAGAAAAAGGTTAGTTTTCAAACACTGTCCAAATTCATTATTCATAATTATTGAATCATCATTATTAATTAATATATTTTTATACCTAGTTACAACTTCTAATAGTTTTGTTAATAATAAATGGAAGTTCTTCCATATTACTAGACTTTTCTATACATATAAGCCATTTTATCAAATTAATTTTGTTAGTAATAAATGAATGTTTTTTCATATTTCTAGACTTTTCTATACATATAAGCCATTTTGTCAAATTAATTTTGTTAGTAATAAATGGAAGTTCTTCCATATTACTAGACTTTTCTATACATATAAGCCATTTTGTCAAATTAATTTTGTTAGTAATAAATGGAAGTTCTTTCATATTACTAAACTTTTCTATACATATATAAGCCATTTTGTCAAATTAATTTTGTTAGTAATAAATGAAAGTTATTCCATATTACTAGACTTTTCTATACATATAAGCCATTTTATCAAATTAATTTTGTTAGTAATAAATGAAAGTTCTTCCATATTACTAGACTTTTCTATACATATAAGCCATTTTGTCAAATTAATTTTGTTAGTAATAAATGAAAGTTATTCCATATTATTAGACTTTTCTGTACATATTTTTCATAGCTGCTTTTCCAAACATTAGAAGTACAGTACTAAATGATCTTTTCGACATTCACTTGGTGACTTGTCAACTTGGCTAGCATTGCCACCAATTAAATGTATTTATGCCAATTCCTACTGTCATTATAACATTAGACCTGCCTCTTGTACTGACTTTCAATAGATTTTCAGACAGTAAAACAAGATGTCAATAGTCAGTATGTCACAAACTAATCCAGATAATGTAGGAACAAAAAACAGTATTCTAGTACATGAGACAATTAAATATTATTAAATATTTTTTTAATAAAATGTGATATGATAAATTTTCCAAATTTTAAACTTGTGAAAACATTATTGTGTTAAATGAAGTTATTTGTACATTATAAATGTTTTTTTAACTTAAATAATTTTAATATGAGCAGAATGTGATATAAAATTAACAGTAAGGCTATTATTGTAATCAAGTACATGATGTATTTAGTATTGAAGTACTAAATTTTTCATTTGTGAACTAAATTTATGGCAGAAAGATCTGTGCCTTTTTATTTCAACGTCAGTATACACGTGGCCTAGTGGTTAGTGTGCTAGACTATGGGTCAGAAAATCAAAGATGGCATTGGGATATGCTGCTTAATACATTCCATAATTTCAGCTTTGTGTGCATTATAAAAGTGACACATTTCTTTTTTTTGGTTAAGAGTAACTCCATGTCATTATCATAGGCTGACTGATTCTTCTTCATTTAGTCTGTGGATACGTGCTGGTGACTGATTCTTCTTCATTTGGTCTGTGGGTGGGTGCTGGTGACTGATTCTTCTACATTTGGTCTGTGGGTGGGTGCTGGTGACTGATTCTTCTACATTTGGTCTGTGGGTGGGTGCTGGTGACTGATTCTTTTACATTTGGTCTATGGATGGGTGCTGGTGACTGATTCTTCTGCATTTGGTCTTTGGGTGGGTGCTGGTGACTGATTCTCCTACATTTGGTCTTTGGGTGGGTGCTGGTGACTGATTCTCCTACATTTGGTCTGTGGGTGGGTGCTGGTGACTGATTCTCCTACATTTGGTCTGTGAGTGAGTGCTGATAACTGATTATCTTATGTATAAGCAGCGGGTGCTGTTAGATGACTGTCCTACATTTGGTCTTTGGGTGCTGTTATGTGGTTTTCTTGTGTTTAGTTTGTGGGCAGTGATGATGATTGTCATAGATATATGAAATGGGACTGTTGACTGATTTTGATACATTTGGTCTACAGGTGCTGTTGATTAATAGCCCTACATTTTGTCTGTGAATGCTGCTGGCTGATTGTACATTTTTGGTCTGCAAGTACTTTTGAATCATTTTTATATAGACACTGTTGATTGACTGTTGTATGTTTGGTCTGGGTAGCTGTTAACTAATTGTTCTGTGTTTAGTCTGGGGAGCTGTTAATTGATTTTTATATGTTTGGTCTTGAAAGCTGTTAACTGATTTTTGTATGTTTGGTTTGGAGAGCTGTTAACTTATTTTCCTACATTGGGCCTGTGTGTGCTGTTAACTGATTGTCCTGTGTTTTATTCTGGGGATCTGTTGACTGATTGTCTTGTGTTTTATTCTGGGGAGCTAACTCATTGTCAAATATTAGTTTTATAGGTGCTGTTGACTGTTTGTCCTTTGTTTGGTCTGCAGGTTCTTTAAAGTGATTGTCCTGTGTTTGTCAGGGGGTGCTGATGACTCATTGTCTTGTGTTTGGTCTGGGAAGCTACTAACTGGTTCTTCTATGTTTGGTCTGTGGGAGCTATTAACTTATTGTCCTGTGTTTAGACTGGGAGTGCTGTTGACTGGCTGTTCTGTGTTTAGTCTGTGGGGACTGTTAACTTACCTGTGTTTGGTCTGGGAGTGTTGTTGACTGGCTAGCCTTTGTTTGGTCTGGGAAGCTATTAACTGATTCTTCTATGTTTAGTCTGTGGGGCTGTTGACTTGCCAGTGTTTGGTCTGGGAGTGCTGTTGACTGGTTTTCCTACGTTTGGCCTGTGGGTGGTGTTGATTGAATTTTTGTGCACTTTTTTTTTTGGGGAGCTGTTGACTGATTGTCTTATGTTTGTCTGTGGGTGCCATTGACTGATTTTCCTACATTTGGTTTCTTGGTGCAGTTCACAGATTGTTCTCTGTTGTTTCTGGAGGAGCAGTTGACTGATAGTCCTACATTTGGACTGTGGGTGTTGTTGACTGATTGTTTTATATTTGGTATGTTTTTACCATTGACTAATTGTCCTACATTTGGTTTAGATGTACTGTTGGCTGATTGTTATATGTTTTTTGGGGGGGAGGTGTTGACTGATTGTCTTGTATTTGGTCTGCAAATACTGTTAAATGATTGTTCTGTGTTTGGTCTGTGTAAGCTCTTGACATATTGACCTAGATTTGGTCTATGGGTACCATCGGCTGATTGACCTAGATTTTTCTGTGGGTAACGTTGGCTGATTGACCCTCATTTGGTCTGTGGGTACCATCGGCTGATTGACCTAGAGTTGGTCTGTGATTGCTGTTGATTGTCTTATGTTTGGTCTGCAGTTCAAAAACAAGAATGGCTATACCTTAATCCTATAATGAGTACTTAATAACTACTTGTCCTAGCAGAAATAAATTTCAATAGAGATACATTCAACATAAGTTGCATGGAATGAGATACTTGTGATATGGTTTTGTCGGTATGGTATGTATTGTTAGTTTTTTAATATCACCTAATTAGATGTAAGTGATTTTATAGGCTATTATCCATGACAACAATGGTACAAGAGTATTTTAGAAGCTGTCAGAGAATGTGTTCATATGCTTTCCTTCATTCTTAATCAGCATATTATGCCTATCCCTAAGTGAAGATACTGCAGACATTTCAGGGACCTTCACAGTCTCATTATTGATGACCTTTTGAGGTCAACAACTACAAAACTGCTGGTAATATCTCAGGATCTTGCCAGGCATTTCTGCCTGAATGAATGGCTTATGATTCTGTTATTAGTGGAAGTGCCTGCTAGAAACCTTTTAATGGTTTGCCTCATCTTGTTGGTAGGTAATGTTTCCAAGTGCATCGTTCTTCCAGGCAGCTTAGTTTCACCAACAAGTTAAAGAAATTATAACAAATATCATGAGTGGTGCATTGCATATGGGTTTTCCATATCCAATTAGATGAAAGCATGTTTCATGTGTGAAAAGGATGAATTCTAGAGAAGATTTATCAACTTGGCCAAACTTACAAATGAAGTCTGAAAGGTATCATGAACTTTAATGCCATGTAGCTATCTAAAGTGATAAGCTTTGAGCTTGTTTCTTTTAATACTTTGTTATTTTTCACATTATACTCTGTGGCGGATCAAGTTTTTGAGCAGCACTTCTTCCACTTAATGCCTCATTGATATTCTGAGCAACTTCTGTTTCCAAAGATGTAGATGACCACCAAGTGCAAGGATCATATTTTAAGTATCCAATTGCCTTGAACATAAAAATAAGAATCAGTATTTAAAAAATTCTTAGGTACTTTGAAGGAATTAAACACTTATTCACTTCTGATAAAAAGAAACTGTATATAGATCAAAATGAAAAAATAAACCAGTGTATGAACAGATCCTGTGGGTCACCAGCTATAAGTGAACTACAGCAACACAATGATAGCAGTATTATCATTAACTTCTGATTAAAAGAAATTCCACAGATTAAAATGAAAAATGAGCCCAATAATTGTTAGAAGTAACTTAATATACCAATCTAACTAAGAGTATGCACTGTCATAAAACAGAAACTTCTGATGATACTAATGCTTTTGTGTACCTTCATCATTTAATATAATTGACGATTATCTTTTCCGAACACAACATAATATACTACGTCATTTGATAGATGAAAACCTTGGCTTTCTATTGGTTATAGGCAATATCTAATTAAACGTAAGATAGAACTATTAACAAATCATCAAAGAGAGGGTGTGGCAGATGCTTCTGATTTTCTATTTGATTGCTCAATAACCAAACAAAATTGAAGGCTATTTCTCACACTAGGGGAAATTCAGGAATTATATAGAATTAAAACCTAAAACTTGTATACTATTAAAATACGGATCCTTAGCTAAGAGTTTAAGCTACACTAATTAGTATAACATAAACAAAAAGTAGTTCAATGAAATTTTGAATATAAGACACTAAAACCTTGTGTCATGTGCAGTAAAGGATACCCATGGTGATAGGGTTATTAAAGAATAGAATAAAACTTACAAAATGTAGAAAATAGTTTGCTTTATGTGCTTGAAAAGCCAATAAAAGGCAGTTAAATAGCTCTGTCAGTACAACTTGAAAGTAGCTTAACACACCATAGTCTTGTGGTTATGGTTACAGACACAGTACATCCATGTATAAATAAGTAGAAACAGTGCACTCTAGTGGGTATTGTTGAAACCATAATACCAGTTCTTTAAATAGTTATCAGTGAACTTTCATTTAAATGTTTAGCTACTTCTTAACACTTCAATTTTAACCTATATATCAAATGGAAGGATCCTTACTTATGTTTCATATGATTGGCTGGTAATAACCATTTTCTGCATTGTTTTTACATGTTATAATGTTTCTAAACTTTAATATCTTCATTTTCAATTTATATGATTAGAAAACACACATTTTGAAATACATTTGGTTTTTGATTTAAAAATTGCACTTAAAATTTAAGTTTTTAATGGTTAAATATTTATAAATACTTCACTAAAATTTTGAATGATCTTCTATTAATAATAATTTCACTCCTCAGTGGTTCAGTGTTAGATTCTGAAGGCTTATAGCGCTAAAACTGGGTTTTAATACCCATGGTGGGCCCATATAGCCTAATGTGTAGGTGTGCCTTTAACAACAAACAAATAAATTATAAAAAATTCACTTTAGGGTTCAATAATCGGTTATTTATAAACATTTCACTAAAGTTTTGTACGATCTTCTATTTTGTAAAAAATGCTAAAGTTTGAAAGATATTGTATTTATAAATACTTTATTAAAGTTTTGAATGATATTCTATTTATAAATACTTTATTAATGTTTGAATAATTTTTTATTTATAAACTCTTCATTAAAGTTAGATTTTCCTTTTATTTATAAACACCATTAAATTTTTGAATGATCTTCTATTAATGAATGTTACTAAAGTTTTGAAAGATCTATTTATAAACATTTCACTGTAGCTTTCAATAATTGACTAATTATAAACATTTGACTAAAGTTTTCAGTGGTTGGATGTTGATGAACATTTTACTAAAATGTTTAGTGGCTAGATGTTTATAAATGCTTTACTAAAATTTTCAGTGGTTGGATATTTATGAAAACTTCAATAAAGTTTTCAGTGATTGGATATTAATAGACACTTCACTAAAGGTTTTAGTGATTGGATATTTATAGACACTTCACTAAAGATTTTAGTGATTGGATATTTATAGACACTTCACTGAAGGTTTTAGTGATTGGATATTTATACACTAGTAAATTTTTACACAAGTTGCAGTTTATGAGCAGTAACTCTTGCTGATTTGTTAGTATTTCAATAAAGATTAGAAATATTTATGAGCACTTTGTTTTATTGTGGTTTGCTATAAACATAATTCATCCTAACTCACTTTGTTTTATTGTGGTTTGCTATAAACATAATTCATCCTAACTCACTTTGTTTTATTGTGGTTTGCTATAAACATAATTCATCCTAACTCACTGTGTTTTATTGTAGTTTGCTATAAACATAATTCATCCTAACTCATATGAAGTAATTGGAAACAGTTTTATATTGTAATAAATTATTTTCAGTTATTCTTTTTACTATTTTTAACTTTTAAGTGAAAGTAGAATTTATCTGTTTAACTGACCCAACCTACTGTATGGAAAAGTTATTTTTGCTCTGTGTTTTAGCAGAACTTAGAATGTGCTATCTGTCTGATTTTGAGTAGAAGTTTTCTTTGTATAATAATAGTTTTGTGATTTCTTCTCAACAACTGTAACTTCTGAATCTCTGTTCTTTCAATTTTAGATATTGTTAGAATGAAAGCTTTGGAAAAATTACTAAATACAGAAAGATATGTTTTTGAAATGCCAAAACCATGGAGACTTTCAAAGAGCAGTTTGTAGATTCAATTTTTCCAATTGCTTTAGATGTAATTCTCAAATAGAAGAATTTATTGAACACTGGAACAGAAGTTTCAGGGCTTTGGTATATCTTGTTGCTGGTGTTCAGTCAGTAACAGTTGTCCTTCTCTCTTCCTAACTGCTGCCAGTTACGTTCCTTTGGCAGACACTTTGTCTCACGTCTTGCACTCTACCCAGTAAGTCACCCACTTTCTTTCTGTTTCTTTTCTGTCTGGTTTTGTTGTATGTTTGGTTATACAGTTGGTGCAGCATGCTTTGTGTTGGTAATGTGCTTTATTGGCAACTTGCATCTTAAGTGTATTTTTTTCTGTTTTAGATACCTTGATGATGTAGCCTTACATCACTTGATTGATGCCCTCTGTAAACTGTCCACAGAGTCCATGGATCTTGCATATAATAATAGAGTAAGTATCTTGCATGGCACAATGAGTGAAAGTTAGTAATTAATTACCTTCCAAAGCATATTTGTATTAAAAAGAAATTAGTCATTTTTGCTTTCTAACTATTCTCATGTAGTCTTTGAATGTCTTATCTTCAGTATGTAACACTCGTTACCATTGGCAAATCCTGTACACAGTAAGCATTGGTTTTACTCTGGTATTTTATGTTATATACTTGTTAAATTTCTACACAGTATTAAACTCAGTGATTCTCTGTAGAGCACTTAGTCCTGTACACAGTAAGCATTGGTTTTACTCTGGTATTTTCTGTTATATACTTGTTAAATTTCTACACAGTATTAAACTCAGTGATTCTCTGTACAGCACTTAGTCCTGTACACAGTAAGCATTGGTTTTACTCTGGTATTTTCTGTTATATACTTGTTAAATTTCTACACAGTATTAAACTCAGTGATTCTCTGTAGAGCACTTAGTCCTGTACACAGTAAGCATTGGTTTTACTCTGGTATTTTCTGTTGAATTTGTACATACAGAGTATTATGTTAAACTGTAGGGTTTTTCTAACAATACACTGTTATAATCAGAAATTTTCTTTATGGTATGTAAAGCCCTCTACTCTGGATATTTAGCACATACCTGTTAAATTTCAATGCATAGTTAAACTGGGGATTTCCTTATAGCGTGTAAAGACCTATACACAATCAGTATATGATTTACTCTGTGATTTCCTGTTGAATTTGTACACACAGAGTATTATGTTAAACTGTAGGGTTTTTTTTTTACTATTTGTGAAGTCTTGTATATAGTTTGCATTGGTTTTACTCTGAGATTTCTTGTATGTACCTGTTAAATTTCTGTACATTGTTAAACTCTGGGGTTGTCTTCTGCAATTGTTTACATGTCAGTAGGAGAGTGAATGCTGTAATCATACAAAACATAGCTAGATCTAGTAGTTCACACTGATTCTTAGAGGTCTTGTATTGGTATGACAGTGTTTTTATATATACTATAAAGTTTCTTTCATAATTAGAAATATAAATAAATAAGTAAATAAAATAAAAAAAGGGTAAAAAATCATCTCACAAATTATTGTCTTAGGACTTGCAGAAAAACTATGTTACTTAACTATACCTGTTCTTGGTGTGGTTTTCCCACGTTTACACATACAAAACATGCTGCTTAACTATACCTGTTCTTGGTGTGGTATTCCCAGGTTTACTCTTACAAACTATGCTACTTAACTATACCTGTTCTTGTTGTGGTATTCCCAGGTTTACACATACAAAACATGCTGCTTAACTATACCTGTTCTTGTTGTGGTTTTCCCAGGTTTACTCTTACAAACTCTGCTACTTAACTATACCTGTTC